TCCTTGATGAGTCCCGGGGTCGGCGGCAGGGGCGGCAGCCCTTAAATCACTATGACATCGCAGCTAGCTATAGCTCGCTTGCAACTGGGTCCACTACAAACAGCTCAATCAACAACCCTCCTAGACCTGCCCAGCACCTCACCATGCCCATACCCATTGTATATGCCAAGGAACGTCACCAACCAGAGCAAAGTAAGCGCCCCAAGCGCTTGGACGAACGCGTCCTCCGCTGCAAAGCAGAGGAAGGCGAAGAGGATGTCCTTCCTCGGAACACACCGAGCCAGGACTCCGGGCGGTCGAACAACCGATGCATTCCTCGTCATTCGTGGCATCATCCGTCTCCTTTGGATCTGAGGCGAACTCTCAATGCACACTTATAAACTTATAAGCCCCTTGGAATGAAGTCTCCCTCCCGTGCCACTGCCAGATGCCACCTTAAAGGATCCTGAATCCAAATGGCCCATACCAACATTGTAGCTTAAAGAAGATCCGCAAGCACATTCATACTGGACACTGGGCTAAACAAATTAGATCACGTTGAGAACTGTGCACATACCTCCCCCCCACCCGACCTACCAGTCCAAGACAAATACTTTTCACAAAATCTTCCAATTTTTTCAAACATGACCAAAAAAATTATCCAAACTGAACTCCATGGCGAGGAAAGACAGGAACCGGTCACCGGTCTCCATCCGTTTTCCCCGAGGACACCTGGTTTTCCCTCAGAGAACGTGTCTCTGCCCATCGGCTGCCTGAAACCTCACACTGTGTCTGAAGCCTCGCACCGTGTACAGTTTTTCAGTGATCATTGAATGTGGCATGTTTTGAAGCCGGATGGCCATTGGCATCTCCAGGCTGGATGCGAGCATGTGGCTTACAATTCAACATCAATTGCAATAAGTGTGCCTCTTAAAAATCAGACTCCACGAACCTCATCAACGCTTAATCTTACTAAAGAATGGCCTGGGGATTCACTTTATGACTGAGATCCTTGTGTAGATGCCTGGGACTAGCTGAAGTTCGGACGAAGTCGCATGGTGTCGAAGGAATCCGACACGAAGGGGCAAACGCCAGAAATCATGGCCTCCGTGAAAGAGACCATGCCATAGTGCCGCCCGGCCGGCAGCCGTATGGCCGCGAGGACGGCCTGTCACAGTCTGCCAACAAGATCCAACAAGTGCTATGGTTTGCGACCTGATCAACTTTGGAGAAAGGGTTCCGGGTTGACAAAAGCTGATACTGTTTTTCCAAGGCGATGCCATATTTCTCAAACATTTGGTATTCCAAGAATGGTCAAAGAGGCGCCATCCAATCCTGTCGCATGTTTTTTGTCAACACCCGAGTCCATGGTTCCAAATTCCAATCGAAGCGCCTGAGTGAGCAGCCACACACATCCGCAGCTGAAGATCCCTGTGTACACCTCCCAGCTAAGCCCATGTTCTGGGCTCAGCTGGTTGGTGGCCAAGCTTGCTGCAGCCGGCTGAGGGAAGAAGAGCCATGATTGCAAAGAAAGGCTGAAGACCTCATGGAAAAGCCGGTGCTCACAGCTTGCTGCCAATGGTAAATGAAGATGCGCCCGTGCAAACATGCCCGCTCCTCTTTGCAGAAACTGAACCGGCAAATATTTGCTGCTGCAATTCGAGGCGTCCAACTACGGAATCAAAACCGTTGTTGATCGAGTTAACTGTTGCACATGGACCTCGTCCCGGTGCCGATCCCTCCGATCCGCTCCATTTCAGCTGTGGCGCGGCCACGCAGAGGAGATACGTCGCCGAAAAGGCCGCCACCACGTACCGCGCTCGGTGCTTCACCCAGGGCAGCGCCTCTGGGGTCGACGTCGGCTGCACGGCCTGCGGTGCCTCTGCCGCCTCCGGCGCCTCTGGGGCCACCGTGGACTGGTCAACCGGGTCGGTGTCCGGCACGTGGACGTCGATGGTGGCACCTACAGTGTCCGCCTCAGCCAGTGCAGTGGCCAAGCAAGAAGGCCAAAAAGCCAACTAAGATCGAGACCTGGAGGGAGATAAGATTTAAAGAATGGTGGAATAGTTGTACAACAGTCATTGAATCTGATGGTGGTTTTAAAAGAGGTGAAATAAAGTAACAAATTGAAGGCAACATACAAATTTTACTAGTTCAAGCTACGGGAGCCATCATGAGCCTACGAAATCCACGGATTTTTGTCAACTTCCTTTTCACTCATCAACATATCTGCCGCCAAATCTCCGCCGCCAGCCCTGTCTCCTCAGCGAGAGCAAAGGTGCAGAACTTCGGCAAAAGCAAACAGAGAAGATTGAGAAAGCCCCGGGAGAAAGAACATCCAAAACGTGGTATGATTTGGAAGCTAGGCAACTCCTACAAAACTCTCTCGAACTGCGAACTAGTTCCATATCGAACCATAAAACCATAAAGCAGACTTGGGAGAAACACCGGCTCTTTGCAAGAGCTTCACAGAAGACCATAGAAGACCCGACACTGTGCTGCCAAATCTCGAGCAACGGAGTCTTGGGACTCTCTGTTCCTCTTTCGCTTTTCAGACAGCCAGCGCACTTGAGGATGCAAGTCCCTATTGCTTCTGTCAACCTTGGAAGTAAACCACGTGCAGACCACATGAGACAACCACGCTGAAACAGGGCGATCAGGGTAATACCTAGTACTTGGAGTGAAGGTAGTGCCAGCTCTTGTCCACATTGACCCATCATACTGAACGCCAAACAGACTAAACCGATTCAATTTGGGACCTGATCGTTGCAATGACATCTGTCCATAACTTGCTTGCAAGCTCAGGAGCAGTCCGATCGCCAACATAATGCCCACAAACCTGGCAGCTGCTTGAAATTCTCACCGGGCTGCTAAGCTACTACTTGTGGATTGGAGCCCGTGCCAACAAGTGCAAAAGGTCTTGACATTTCAAATTTCATGCTGAAAACAGTGGCAGGCCAGACAGTCTTTAAACAGCATGACTGTCCGATTCAAAATTCCCAACACTCCCACCAACTTGGTGTTTCCGCTCTTGCCAAGGCACGTCAACGCTCTTTCAGACTGGCCGGCCACCTGCCGAACTGCTGCCACGAACTCCTCGAAGTTGGTGAAGTTCGTGACATTTTCCATTGACTCGAGAGTGAGTCTGGGCTTGGCTGTGGCAAACCGACTGAGCTAGCTCCGAGCTTGACACCCTGTGCTTTCAAACTGGATGTTCTGGAACATGGTTTCCTATTGCAAAGATCAGGCTTTTCTTCCCGGTGTCTTGATGTCTGTGGAGAGGTCGTGGAGACCGGGTTTGAGCTCGGCGCTGCTGCGGCAAGCTGCACAGTACTTTTGAGGCTCTGTTAGGCTCTGTTAGGTGGACGCCCTATGGCGGGCGGCTGGGGTGGCACACGTCAGACGGTGCCCCGCAGCAATCTCCCCACTTGCGCCAAACATGGCCGGAGTGGTGGAGATGAAGGTGAAAGGGAAAAAAAAAGGGGTCTCAACCAGAGCACATGTGGGCGCCAAAAACGCTGCAAACATGCTGCCTTCACCTAAAAAAAAACATCTAAAGAGATGAAACCCACGCCACGTCGTAATGCACCTGAGGTCGCAATTTTTTCAAAGCCGCATGAACCTGAGCAGTACAACGACCAACGTGGAGGATCTTCTGATGCAGAGGCTCCAACTCAAGCACCGGTTCAAGCCACCACTCCCAGCGCAAAGCATGGGAGACCACGGCCGTGCACCGATGGAGCAGATGGGCCAAAGTAAGTGGGTGATTACAGTGAGGGCAGCCGAGATCCACGCCAAAGCTGTGGTGGCGAGTATAGAGCCACTCACGTTTGAAGAAAGTAGACTCACACACTTTGTTTGGTCTCTGAAATCCGCAAATGAGTGTTCCCATCGTCAACATCTTGCCGAAGAACACAAGAGCAGACCACGAACCTCCCGCTACGCATTACAGCTGCTACAAACTTGGTACAGCTGCAAATCAAAAACCTTTAGATAAACATGCACCTGCCGCAGCTCGGCTATGACTATGACCAGTTGTGACCACTGTCCACTTATGACCCTGGCAAAACCCTTGCATCTTGCACCGTTTTTCCGAAACAAAGTTCTTCAGCTCCTGGCGCCCGTCTTGACACCGCAAACTTCTTGAGCGGCGTTGTGTGATCAGCTTTGACACCGTCACGTGTGGAAACCGCCAGCTGAACCGCGGTCTGGAAGTCCATCGGGTCCTTCGAAAAGGCTCCTAAGGCCTCACAATCAGCTGAAGGGCCGCAGTCTTAGCGCTGAGATTGGCACCTGAGCGTGTCCCAAGCAAAGCATTCCGTGTGCAACGCCGGTCCTGGAGGGTTTCTACTTAGGTGCTACTCCAGAACATTTCATGAAGCAAGGTTGCCATCTGTTCGCAACGCAATGTCAGGCATACACAAACAGAACATAGAACAACTAGAGACTGGACACCCGGATTTTAAGAAACCTGCACCACGCAACAATAGACAATAGAGAAATAGCATGAGCCATGAGCGCCTGACAAAACAAGCGAATCAAGAGAGAGCCCTATAACCTTGTTGATGCAACATCCAACTGCTCCTCCAGAAGAATGATAAAATACAGTATGATCGTTCTGATTTACATTCTGATCAAATCGTGCCATCGTTGTTGTCTAAGTGTGGCACCCATGGACCTTCAGCAGAGCTCGGGTCCTCAGCGATGGATCCATGCCGACGGGGACCGTTTTCGGACTCTTCGTGTCGGTCGCGCGCGACGGGTCCGCTGAGGATCGCGCCACCGGAGCGTCAGAGTGAAGACGTGCTGCCACGGGAGTGTCCGGATCAGCTTCGTGTAACTGGCGGGTTATTGCAAGTGAAGCAAGTCGTAGAAAGCAAGCATGTGACTCGGAGGAGATGTGAAGGAGACGTGATGTGATCCGGCTTCAGCATGCTTTAGTCACAGACTCGGTTTCACCATGTGAAGAAAAACCTCACCGGGAGCCCGCGTTCTGAGGAACATCTGTGCATTCTCCGTTGGAACCAAACAACCACAAACAACCTCTCTGTGTTATGTGAAACGAACACAAACACCGAACAAACACTATGATTATAGAGATTCCTGGTCACTACCAGGACAGTGCAAACTAGAATCAACAAGTGTCTATTTGGAAGAGACGCCTCTTTGTTGTCTAAAGGAGGCTGATGCAAGTCAAACTTGCGTGATTTGACCGGATCTAAAACATGACGCAAAGCTACAACCCAAGGGAATCCATTGGCTCACCCTCCAATGCAGCTTCCCACAACTTGTTCCATGACCGGAATTTCCCGCCTGTTTGCTTGGGCCCCGCCCCTATCCGTTGGAGAGACACACCGGATACGCCCGCTTGAAGGGTCTCAAGTCTGGCCGGGCAGCCTCGGAGTCGATGACCCACGAGAGCCCATCGGCGGCGCGAAAGATGTGCCACACCTGTTTCGTGTACGTGGGACACTGCGGTGATGGGATCGTGGCACATGCTCTGCTCATCTTTGACCTCTTTGGAGTGCCAAAATGTCAATGAGCTCTGCCATGTCTTCCACTACGTACTTGCAACATAGTTGCTTCATGCCCTTTTTCAAGAGACAACCACTACGACGACGACAACGACGACGGACGACGACTACTACTGCTGCTACGACGTGTCAACTGGGTTCAGCAGGATCAACTGGGTCTCGTCTCGAAGGTCGTCTCGAAGTCTTGAGAATTGAAGAGGCTTCGGTCAGCCTGATTCTTGGTGTTTGGATGTGTTTGGTCTAGTCTAGTGTCCAAAAGATTTGAACCAAGCACCAAGCATATGATGTTGAAGACAGGAAAGGACAGATCCAAAAGGAAAATGCCGGGCAACCGTGGTGGAGTTGGTCATTCTCTCCCCAGCTTTGGCAGTTTTCGGCATTGTGACACCTGATGTTGTGAAGTTCTATTTTCTGTTTTTGCGATGGCTTACAACACATGAGATACTCCAGAAGGCAAGAATCTCATGGCATACCCAGTACAAGTAGGAACATGTGAGAAACCTACTGAATGATCTCCACCTGGCAAGGGCTGGAATGGATTCTTCCATTGCTACACGTGGGCGAGAAATTAATAACACTATCCACAATCGAAATAAAACCGTTCAACGCTGCATGACAGTGTCAAAAGGCAAGGACAATATGTCGGAAAGCTACTACTTGGTTAAAGTCCCACAAGCAGAACCAGCCCGCCTGCCCCCCAAAACAGACTTGTTGGAACATGTTGGAACAATTAAAGTCTTCATTGCCAGTGCACCCAGTGCACCCGCATCAAATTGAACCCCAACCCCACACCATCCTCGAAAAAACAAAAAAAACCGATGGCCCGGAGCGTGGAAAGTTAAGAGCAGGCAGAAGAAGAGTAATCTCGCGGGCGCATCGCGCTCGGCCCCACCTCTGTGGAGCCACTCGGCGGCTGAACCTGGCCGGCTCAGATCGAGCTTTGAAGCCGAGCTTTGAAGCCGTGGTCTTGACCCCACCTATGGCGATGAATAGCTTCATGAACTGCCGGTTTAGATGCCAAAAACAATAGAATGGCCCTGTCTTCAGTCATTTTTGGTCTTGCTTTCAGGTTTGTTTTTTGTCTTCGCTGGCCTGATACAAAGTTGAGTCAATGGAAGTCTCTTGAAAGAGCAACTTCGACTTGGATGATCTGTACCTCAATAAAGACATTTCCCTGAAACACAGCCTTTTGGGGTGCGACCCTGCCATTTCTTCACCAAAGTCGAGGATCTCATTCTAACAAACTCTTGGAGCAACAACAACGCTGAGCTTTAATTGTTCGACTTGGCTTTCGACTAACAAACAATAACACCAGCCCGTAATGCACGAGCTAGGTGAGCACGCCTCAAGAACTGGAGATAAACTGGGCTTCACCATGGTCCGATGGTTCTTGGCGTCAAAATCAAACGAACAAAGGTACATGGGAATCGATTTCGGACGATCCCACCATATCCCACCTGCACCCAGCATGGAGCTCCATTGTGAGATCGCTCGCGAAGAGCATAGACCTGCGGTCAAGGCGAATCTGTTACAGCCTGTCCTGTGGTGTCAATGCTTCTGCAGCTCAGAAACCTATATATGTACTGCTTCCAAATGGAACAATGCCAACAGCCAGTCGTGACTCCGAATCCGAGTTCGGAAGACCAACCAACCTGACAAACCACACACACCCAACACGACCCGGGTGTTCCATAGCTCCGGACTGGGTCACCCGGACCCCATTGATGCCCAAATGATCTCCGTCCTTCCGCTTCATCATCCCGGACTCAGCGCGTGGGACGTGGAGGTGGACAGGGAAGAACCGGACGGTCTCAAAACAAGAAGGACGCGTTTGGCGTTTGATCATGTTTGTTGACCGGTCGGAAAATGCATCTTCGGGGAGCGTCGCTCGTACTATTTCTCTCCCTCAGAGTCCATGGACCCTTAAAAGTAGGACCTCCGCCGAGGAGGTCCTTAAAATGCCGATGTCCGAGAAACCATAGAAGTTGCTGGGGTTTCACCGCCGAGGAATCCGAGGAATTAATCACAACCCTGGTCGTGAGCAATCTTGAAAAACGTCCCCTCATTCAGATTCATATAGAAATTGCGCACCAGAGTGTGTAGGATGCCATGCCAATGCTCACGATTGCTCATTTTTTGCTGGGGGATGTTGTTTTCCTGTTGAGGTTGTTTTGTGCCTTAGAGGACCTCCGAGGTAATTACTTTTCAGGACCTTTGCTCACGCTTGCTCACGCTAGCTATGAGCAGACAGCAAGTAATGAGGGTGTTGATTGTTTTATTTGGTGGGAAATAGAGGTCTGGAATTGCACGATGCCAAATGTCCTCAATCAAGCCAACACCAGCAGTGAGGGGCCATCAAATAGCCCCCTCGCCGATGCTCTTTTTAGGACCTCCGACCTTGAATGGAAGATTATCGCCGATGTTCTCTTTAGGACCTCTTTTCTCAACAAATCCGAGGACCCTACAAAGTAGGACCTTGGACTTCCAGGGTCTTATATTCTCTTCTATTGGCTCTTTGGACAAGAACAGCCATCTGGGATGATTAATTGGGTCCGGCCAAAGAAGGATTCCATGCCAAAGACATGGTCTCGTCCCATTCGCATCGAATCACATCTACATCTCTTTCCCATCCCCCGGTGGGTGCCCCCGACACGTGGGGAGAGCGCGGGATAGGCGGCGAAGGCCGAGCTTCCCGAAACCTCGGTTTAGGTGACAGCGACCCGGTCCGCGGACGGCCAAAAAATCAGTCCCACTGAGTTAGTGGCAAGCTTGGAGAGCATTTTTGAAGAACATGACAATGACTACAAAGCTACTCCAGTGTCACAGTTGTCACAGCGATCATTTTGGCCTAATTTACAATCTTGAGCACGGAGATGCAAGGAGATGCAAAGAGGTCTCCTGCTCCACTCAGACCCTTGTACATTCAATTTGTACAATTCTTACTTTTCCTGCCCTACGCTCACTCCATGACCATCATTTTGGTTCTTATTGTTGATCTTTGCTAGCCAGGTCAAGCATTCTCTGCGTTCGCACTCTTTTCCGCAGCATTTGCCCATGAATGTGGCAAAAGCCAACGTTGGGTGAGACAATGCTATAGCCGTCACGATCTAGCAAGGGAGTTTGCAAGAGCTCGATCCCGTGAACAGCAACATTATGACCGAGGAAATGCAGCCCTGGAAGACCATCTTGCAACACAATGGTTTGGTGATCTTTGGTCTCTTCATGGTTCTTCTGTCATGTCTGCTGAAACACCCACTCCCTAGGAGTAGCCAACAAAAAAGGTGTCTTTCTTCTTGCTCGTGAAGTCCCCAAAGCCTCTGTGCAAAGCCCACTGGTTGAGTTTTCTTTGCCTGAAGGTCCAAAGAATTGAATCCATGAAAAGGATTGAAAAGGTGTTTTGTTGATGGCATTGAAAGAGCTCGCTCACTTGTGCTCTGCTGCCTTGCGATGGGCATCCGCCAAGTTTGGACCTGTATTGCCTCAGCCATCGTGCCCTTGCGCAAACGACACGTCCACTGAATCTAAAAACACTGGTCACAGCCTGGTGTACTCACCTAGCTTTTCTTAATTTTCATGACGCGAACTCGGGTGCTGTGTTTGGTGCTTGCAAGTCCAGTCAGGTCGACCCTCTCAGAACTGGGTTCACGAACCCCGAAGTGTTCGGCTGGTCTCTGCCGAATAACCTGAGTCCGAATTCGTCTTCCGCTGTGAAATTGATCAGGACACCTTGTCACTGCTGAGAATTCAGAAGGTGGCAAGCAAGGATTGGGCGATTCCCATGCTTAAGCAAATCTAAATCATGGTTGGACTCTTGAACTTCTGTAAAAACTCGAAGTGCTTGAGAAGCTAAAACAATCACCAAGACCTACGATCGATACACTAGGTTACTCATCTGATCGCCAAGAAGCAAAGAGCAAACCTTGGTGCCTTCCAGAACTCCTCGTTCTCTGCCTTCGTGCTGTTCCACTCCTGAAAGCTCTGGCATCAAAGACCCTAGCAGTGTCAGCATTGTTTTTGTGTCAACCCCTTGACTTGCAATGTTGGTGTTGACGATATATTCCTATAGCCTCCATCTGTTTGGGAACGGCATGTAAACAATAAATGATTGAACGCCATAGTTCCTGATTCCCAGGTCACAGGTGCAAAGACGAAAGGAGATGTGCCATGAGAAAAATCCGAGGATGATATCAAATTTGAAGTGCTGCATCACGAACACATACCTAAACAAGGCGGTAGAAAAAGGGAAAGCGGCGTGGGTCTTGGCAGGGGACACGGCCCGGACAAGGCGGTGATACAAGGGCTGACAAGTGGACAAGGCCTGGACAAGGCGGCGCACCCAAGCAGACCCGCACAAAGACAAGGACGGCGCTCGTTTGGCCGCCGATCCCATCAGGCGGGCTCCTGCATCTCCCTCTGGATTCGCAGTCTGGCCTCCAGATGGCTGTCGAAACGTCGGCCACACGTGGACCCGCACGGAGAGTCGTCCGCGCACGTCGTGTCGTTTCCCACGTGCGTCGGCTCCAAAGGCAGGGATGGCCGCCTGCATGGATCCTCGCTGCGGCTTTTCTTTGGCCTTTTCCTTGCCCATCATGGCCTCAGGCATCGACGGCTGATTTCAATCGGTGACAATGGGAGATAGAGATACAGAGATACAGTAGTCGAAAATCAAGAAATCTCCATGCACGGACCTGCATTGGTGGAGCAGGACTTTCGTAGGGAGCAGGACTGCTGTCGATTTTGGGGTGCTCACCTGCCACCTCTTGAACTTCACCTTTCACGTGTTGCCTCTGCAGGCGCTTCAGATTCTTCCACCTTGCAGGCCCTTGCAGGCCCTGCAGATACAGAACATCCAGTTCTTCCAAGGCACCAGAACCTCCTTTTCAGTCATGAGACCTGGCCAGGAGAAAAGCAAAGTGACCAAAAGACTTGAAGACCTTGGAACCCTGACTCGAGAACCCCTTTCAAACTGTCCTTTCTGATAGTCGATGTCGATGCTAGAAAACCAGGGATCTTCTATGATCTTCTCATTTGCATTTAGAAGATCCACCAACGAGCCGTTCTTTGGAGGGAAAGCTGTTTCGTGGTGGGATATCTGTGTCAACCACCGTACAAAATCACAACCCAAAAATCATCAAACATCCCTTCTGCTACGGTCCACCGCCTGCTGCGGTGCTGCTACTTTTTCGCTCCTCCTCGACGTGAGCGGAACGTGAGCGTGAGCGCGCCCTGGCAAGGAACGTGGCGTCGGTTTTTGAGCTCGGAACTGCTGGAGAGGTGAGGAACATGGGTTGAACGGTTGAACAAGGGGACTACGGTTGAGCAGTTTTACAATCTTTGGGTGCCAAGTTTGATTTGTTGATCTCGTTGTGCAACGTCTGCAATCCATCACCTTTTTTCATAACATATCATATTCCCCCTCAAGTGGTGGAAATTCATGAAAGGATTCGCTCTAAGCCAGGGTCGTTTGACACTTTTTGCTGGCAAATAATCTTTCTTGGTCTGACCATGTCATAGCTTACACCTCTTCACGCCATCTTTTTTCAATCTTCCTCACGTGCTGTGCTTTTCTCATTGGCGCCTCTTCTTTACGGCGTGCTCAGACTCCTCCGACTTCTCTTCCTTGGAAGACTCCATGTGCTTGATCCCGAGTCACTTGATAGATCCGTGAAGGCCCGCAAGCAGCTGCATTGACCGAAAGCCTCCTTCATAATGTGGTTGAGTTGGAGGGGCGATTGTGGAATCTTGTGTTCTCAAATTTGAGATGTTCTTTTACATTGACATTTAGCTGGAGAAACCTTCTTGTGAGTCTTCATTCTGTACCCCTCGTCCACCATAGTCCCACAGCTTGGTTGACAGCTTCCTTCTCCCAAAACAAACAGGACGCTCTCACACTTGCCCAGGGTCATCGTCTCGTCTGCGCTTCTTCTTTTTCTTGTGGTGCTTATGATGCTGCTGCTCCTTCGCCATTCCAGCGATTCAATCTGTCAACGGACAGGTTTTCGCAGAGGTCAATGCCGGAAGACTCACCTGCTTCCACCCGATTCTCATTTTCAAAGAACAGCCACAAATGTGGAGAACTGCTGGGGACTTGAAGGGGACACACACACACACATGATATCACATATATCTTCCACCACAATCATGGAAAAAACATGAGTTTTAAGCCAAACTGAAAAGTGAAGCTGAATCCAGCAGAAATTTCTGAGAGCTGAGCTATATGAACATGAAGAAGCTTTTGTAAAGCCCAACAACTTTAGACTCGACATCGCGTATTGAAAAACAGTTTCTGGGGAAACGTCTCGGTCCCCTTTCGCTTCTTCTCCTGCAGCTTTCGCTTCTTCTCCTCCTCTTCCTTCTTCCTTGGCGTGAAAGACACCCCTTCGATCCGGCTTCGTCCCGGTTTTTCGACCGCTCCAACGGACAGTCCGTTCACCCAGATCGGGTTTGCCCTGGTGAACACCCAGCTCCATGGGTGTCTTTGAAAAGGAGTGAGTGAATCCATGTGGAATATATAGTTCTCAGATGTTCTCAGGGTCTTATTGGGCTGATCAATGACAAGTTGGGTGAAATCTGATATTCTGATGACTGGTGAAGTCTTTGTTGAAACATGCAAAACAAAACGGATATGCAGTGGATATACTATGCACGTATAGGTCTGGCTTTGCCTACTTGGCCACCGGCCAAGCAATGCGTCGCTTCCAAGGCTCCAATCCGCTGACACGCGTGGCACGCTTTGCCATTGCCCGCTGCCCTCGGGCTCTGGCGGCGCCTGATGGTTTGCACGTGCAAGCTCCAAACGAGGTCCCTACACTCCCATGACAATCATCGATGTTCGCTAGACCGGTTTGGTCTTCGCATTGAACGGAAGATCCTCCGAGATCAGGGCCGTTTTCCAATCCACGTTGGGCCCATGGATGAGTTCAACATATGTCCGAATGATTGAAAAGCCTGGTGTACTTTTGGAAGAACTCTCAAGAACACCCTGCAGAAGCCTCATGGCTGACATGGCCAGAGAGACTGTTTTTTCGTGCCGGAACTGGCCGATCCGCCGGAACACTCCCAGTTCGGCGGGTCAGGACTAGGACATGACGGTAGGAAGGACCCCATCGATTTGGTCGGATCCGTTGCATGTGAATGTAGGTTTGATAGCTACTCTGCACAAGAACGGCTTCAATGAAGCTACTTGATTGCTGGCATGTACTCAAACAGCTACTCTGCAGGGCGCTCATGAAACTCGCACCATTCATCCCTCAGAGTCCAGTCAGGATTCATTTTACTCCGGACCAGTGGTGGATTATGACTAACGTGACTACATGCGTCATGTAGGTGTAGGTGTAGGTGAGGTAAAAATGAGTCCAGAGGAGTCCAGTTCCGGGCATGTCTCCGCCCGACATCGATCCGCCTGCGGTTCTTCGGGTTCTCTTTCTTCCGGTGTGGCCTCGGAGGCCCAGCCCGTCTCCCCGTCTCCCGATTGGTGTGAACAGATCAAGGACTCTCTGGGAAGAGAAGGACAACCTTCTTTTCGATTGAAGTCAAACAAAAGAACCAGGAAAATGCCTCTCTTCCAGACCTGGCTCACCTCCCCTACCATCCTTGACCTGGGCATCTTTGCTCTACAAGCCGAGCGGCCACCTTCTGCAAGGGGTCCACTGCTTCCTCGCGCGCCATGACCTTCGCGTTTGGCCGCCGGGGCGGTCGG